GGACCAAGTTGCGAAAACAAGGTCAAACAACTTGTATGCAACGAAAGGAGACTGCGACCACACAAAAGGCTACACCATCTTGGTCTTCATACCTTCGATAAAACACATAATTTAATCGGAGATATGAAGACCAAGATGGTGTGGTCTAAATCTTTTTACCAATAGGACCAAGTTGCGAAAACAAGGTCAAACAACTTGTATGCAACGAAAGGAGACTGCGATCACACAAAAGACCACACCATCTTGGTCTTCATACCTTCACTTGAAAGAGATTCATTTGTAAATTGGCCGTTGATCCGGGAAAGGTGGCTTGTTGCCTGGTAAATCTTCCAAAATGCATAGGTTCTGGCTCTGACGGATTCATCCGAGGTCTTCTTTGCACAAAAATCTACCGTCAAAACCGCCCTTACACACGAGACGAAGGCTACACTAACAAGATGCCCTAAAAATAGTTGCTATCGCTACATCTGAAGGTACTTAGTGAAAGTGCACAAATCACTCTAGACCCTCTAGATCCATTATGCCTTACCAGACGATAGAAACGGAAACTGGTGGGCTGTTATGTAGGAACCTTGCAGACCTCTGATAAATTTATCCCATCCTACTTTCGCTCCCAGTGCCCGGTTTTCCCAGGGAAATGGGTTGCCAGAGTGGCTAAAGTTGGTAAGAGGAATTCGTGTGATCCTTCAAGAGGCTGATTGCTGACAAAACTGGCACACCTCGACAGCCATCATCCTGCTGCTAGCTTCGAAACAAAAGCTCTTACCAACAACACTAATCAATGTTACAGGGGTATGAAGACTTCCATTTGGGTCAAACCTGTTTTCCCGACTTGGTCGCGTTGTCAGGGCGACCTCACTGAACTCATCCTGTTAAGAGTCCTCTGTCATAGTACCGAAAATATTGTCCAGCGTCAGACGGTTGACTTGGTACATTAACCCGAAGTTTCACCGGAATGTTTAATCTTAACACCAAGTTACAACACGTCAAAGAGTTAAGTAATATGTTATATGAAATGTATTCATCCTATTTCGTTAAAGTGATGAAGCCTAGCTTTTCGAAAGGTATGCTCTTACAGGCTAAAGTGAAATGCAGGTTTGACTTTGCCTAATTCGGTCTCATTAACACCCTAAAGGGACTCGAACCCGAGTTGCTATAGTTTAGTGTATAATCCTGATACGCTGGCCATTAAGCCACATTGTCACGAGTGCTGCTACAGACTAGGATATGGCGAAATGCTGGCAATCCGAGTTCGAGTCCCGCTTGGGGTCTTGAAGAGACCAGTTTTAGCGAGGTCCTAACCACAATCCACTCTGGATGAGAATAACTTTTGGTAAGCAAGGCTTTGTGAAATTCAATGTAAACATCTGCTCATGTGATTGTGGAAAATATTCAACCATTATTCTCCTTATCCCTTCATACGAAATATTTGATTAATGCTAATCTCGAAAATCTTCTTTTAAACGAAAAAGAAGTGAAAATTATCCCATGGTCAATTTTATCGTCTTTTTTCGTCCTACTTCATCCATCTTTAGCACACATTTTTACTTGTCTGGACAGGGCTACTCCAGACATGTGCCCTTTGGAGCAGACTCAGTCTGGAAGAAACAGCCTGGAGAGATGAGAAAGCCTGTGTAAACCCACCCAAGAGGGCACACCTTTGGAGTAGTTTAGTAGAAAAAGGTCAAAAGTTTTGCTACAGATGGGGTGCGATTTGAGGAGATACAAGGATAGATGAATGTACACTGATTATGAGATGGACTTCACTTGTCCTTTTGACGATTATACGACCCGAATAGATGCTCCGACAATTCGTTTGAGTTGTGAAGACGAGGTCACACAAAAAATGTCATTACATCATTGTGTGAATTGTGAATGGTCTTCTTTGCACTAAAATACAGGTTTGTTGTCTTTTAACTTTGGTGGCGGTGTCTTTGTCTCTTCACCTTCTACTCGATTCTTCATGTCGGATTGTTGGTACACTGCAAGTTACAGTCATCCCAGATCGCGAAAGGTGCTCAACGTGAAATTCGATGAAGTGTGTGGAAATTCTGCCATCACTCTTTCATCACCCTACGCGACTTGGGATGACTAGAGTTCGTTTTCAAGACTGATTGATAGTCCTGAAATCCTACTCAAAACGCAGCCACTTTTCGCCCTCATTACATACTCTTGTGATTCTCTTCTTTTGTCATCTTTCAGGGTGTGATTGGCGGTGCTGGCGAAAAGGCGCTCCGTCAGGCAATCGGCGCAGCTCGGCGCATCGGCAACCTGAATGCTCCAACTGAGGAGCGTGACGCTCTGCATCGAGCCGCGGATGAGTTGGAGGCCCTCGTCGATTCGCTCGTGGAGTACAGGCTGCACGGAGAGGTTGGTCTCAAACAAGGGCTCCTTGAAGCCTCTTTTGTGTATCTTATTTTTTGGGGTTTCGATTGTTTATTTCGCTTTCAGTTCAGGTAAGAGCATTGTTTATCATTTTAGTCACAACCACACTTTCTATGCGTCATAGTTCATTCTTTCCCTTTCACACTCAAGCAAAAAGCGCATTAACTTAATTGTTGAACACACTTTCATTTTAACTGAAAGTGTGTCCGTTGAAGAGATTCGAGTAGGTTGATTCTTTCGAAGACGGAGGGAAATTTCTCTTAACCTGCTGTCGGCTGGCTGTAATGACACATTCTTGCTGGTTGTGGTTTTAATTAAAATCATACTCCCTATACTTCTTAGTTGTCTCTTTATCTTTCACACAGGGGCAAAAGGATAATCAACTTAGCCAGACGTGTGTACAGCATTACGCAATCGGAGAGATGGTTGAATTAGAAAAGGAGTCATTAAGCCTTGTTGGCCGAGAACAGATGTTAATTAATGTTATATTTACTCTGAATTATCACTGCTGACTTCGTAAGCTATACATACGCATTGAAGCATAAAAATACATACAAATGTGTGCTCACACATGCCAATAGATTGACAACTGTCTGAGCTAACCAAATTACTTTATACATCATCAAAATTCACAGATTTAGGGGAATCTATACAACATTTAGGAATAAACCGACAAATTTTTTTCAAGAAAAGTTTGGTTTCGAGCAATCTCCTATTTTTTACTTGTTGAGCTTACTTTCATTTCGAATGAAAGTTTTGGGTGAAGAGATTCGAAGGTTGGTTCCACCAGAAGACGACGTTGGATTCCTCTTGACCAGCTGTCGGATGGCTTAACTACAAGATTCATGCTGACGCTGTTTCGGATGTAATCTCCTTCGATTCCGGCGAAAAGGTGCTAAGCTTTCGTCCGTCGCATGACGAACATCATCTTATCAACTTGTGGAAGAGAATGTGGATCATCGTGACAACAAAATTGAAGCTAACGAGTCAAGAAAACTCACCGGCAAATCTCAAAAAAGTGGTACATCTGGCCTCTTTGATCAAGTATCAAGTGATTTGATTAGTTAAGGTCATATGTCAACTTCGATGTCTGTGAGTGTGTCTGTCTCTATATGTGTATATGTCTGTTTATGTTCGTTTGTGCACGAAAACTGCAGTGATGGCTCAAAGGAACATTTGTTTTTGGCCATCAAGGTTTGATGGCCTCTGTCTCAACCTTGCTACATACATGCTATAACCAGACACTCGTCTGGTTTTGTTGATGAGCCTTTTTTTGTTTTGGTCTCAATGCGAATTGCTTCACCCAAGACTTTAATCTTCGAAATGCAAGTAAGCTCAACAATTATGAAACAAGAGATTCCTAGAAGCCCAACTTTTCTTTGCAAAATTACTTATGCTGCCTGCAAAAAGGAGGCGACGCAATTAGTCTTGGTTCTAATCATAATCACTTCTCTGTACTTTTATCTCACTCATTCTCTCTCGCATTAAGACATGCTTCGAGATTCACATATGACCAAATCACTTTATACCTCATTG